GAAGGATGATATGCAAATTCAAATATCATCCTTCCAAATAGTCATTTCTCTTTATTGAGCATCCGACACTTTTTTTTTAAGTTTAGGAGGGAAACATCGTAGCTAGATGAGAGGTATTTGTGGATCATAATTCTATGGTCAACAATGAGTATCTACTTGAGGCATGTTAACGTACAAGAAATTTTCACACATTTTCTATAACGTGATTTATACCGTAAGTGTACGGTATCAAGTTTTGTAATATAATAATGGAGTTAGAGTGTTGAACTTACAGGGATTGTAATTCAAATTTCTACGAAGTACTATAATTATATAGCATCTATTTTATCTAGATGAATGAATGAATGTTATAATCAATATTTTTAAACTAATATGGTGACGAATTCAACAAATAAATGCAAGCCAGAAGAATAATCAAGTGAAAAAGCCTAGAGTTATGATTTCATCTAATTATCAAATGTGATTCTCAATTATATAATTATTTCTAATCAATTTTCCAAAGTTTATAAGAAAGAACACTAACGTAATTTTACTATCTCTCACTAGTGCCGAGTACAAAGTATCTCTATATTTCAATTCCGAATTAAAATATAGAATTTATCAAGTTCGTAATTCTTAAATGGAACATGCTTCAAAGGAATTATACTTTCTCTCGAAACCTATAATTTCCTAGGTTGTATTATTCTTATGATCACGCCTAAATCTCCCTCTCTCGAGTACCAAAATTTAAGACATCAAATCATTCAATTATTGATCAGGTAATTGAAAGCATTGAGTAATAATCAACACAAATAAATTAATGGAAAAATCAAACGAAATAACTATATTAGAATCCAAATATGTCTCAAGTTTAGTTACATCGAACTCTAGATAATAAAATTAGTTCATGAATACAAGAAACGACATATTAAAGTCTAAAATAAAGAACATGGTGAATAAAAGAATAAGAAAAATTGTTTTGCCTCTTAAATTCTTCTTCAAATGAATTATACTTTCTCCCGAAACCTATAATTTCCTAAGTTGTGTTATTCTTATGATCACGCCTAAACTCCCCTCTCTCGAGTACTGGAATTGATTAGCATCAAATCATTCAATTAGGGGCCAATTAATTGAAAGCATTAAAATCATAACACAAATAAACACATGCAGAAAATCTAATAGAAATAACTAAAATTAATCAATCCATAATCTCAAGTTTTTGGCTACAATCAACCTTAGATAAAGAATTTAGCCCATGATGTAATCTATGAAAAATACTAAAATTCATATAAAAAGATATAGGGAAGAGAATAGAAAAATTAGGATGTAGATTTTCAATTGCTTTTCTTGTTCTTTTTTGTCTTGTTCTTGAATTTCTTGATGTTTTTCCTTGCCTTCTTGAAAAATTGTATTGAATTCCCCTTTGCCTCTTAAATCGTTCTCCCCCTAGAATTAGGTTTTAATTGTTGTATTTATAGTATTTTGAAGTCTTGGAAGGGTTGGAGTCGTATTGGGCCAAGAAAAGAGTCAAAAAAATTAAAACCCTTTTTCTAGCCCAGCGACGCCACGGCGCCCAGTTGATGTTGAATTTCAGCAATGGTGACGCTGCGGCGCCTAGTTTCGAATAGGAACTCAGCACTGAGCGTCCTTCAATATTTTTATTATAATTTTTTTCTCCCAATAGTCGATTGAGGCGATTCAAGATTCGTTGGAAAGATAACTCAAAAGGTTACAACTTTACTTCAGACATCATTTTCCATTTAGAACGTTTGCTTTGTAAAAAATGAGTCCCAATATGAGACTGAAAATCTGGAGCATAATTTTTTCGGTTGGAAATTGATGTGTGATCATACTTTGCCTATATTTCATCCATTTGACTTCTTTCTACATCCAATTGACTCCTAACACTCTTAAATCTTCATTGCGAGGTCCGACATAACTTTCGAATATTTTCACTTTAGTCCCCGAACTTTGGATCTCTAACATCTTTTCCAATTTTGCCAAGTTTTGCTTATTTCTTTCAATTTAATCAACCAATAACACAACATCAAACACACATTAAAATACTCTAAAACTCGTAAAAATTAGTTAAATATCAAGTTTAGATAATGTTTAAAATATGAGTAAAATACACTCATCATATATATAAACCCACTATAACAAATTATGAGAAGTCGATTAAATTAACATGTCCCAACGTGGTTTAGATGAATATTTTTTAAAAGAGACGGAATGTCAAAAAAAAGAATCCTTATAGCTTACCCCAAGTTTGTTTAGAAGAAGGCTTAGCTTGGTATTATTGTTGTACCAAGTTGGATACCGATGCTACCAAAATTCGTGCGTATATATTCTCGAGCTTGAGGACAAGGGATGAGCACGAGCTGTATTTCCGTTGATGGCTGCAAATAGGTGGAATTGAATTCTGGTACCTGAAACAAAGGCGTTAAGGTGTATCCTCGTCGCTCCTCCAATAATTAAGTTAGAGAGAGAATTTATGCGTAAGGTTGTAAACTGAAAATTATGTAAATTGTATTGGAATAATGGACCTTAATTCTGTATTTATAGAGGTTGGTGACTAGATCCTTTAAGGATTAAACCACTTGGAATCCCTTTCTTTATCACATAAAGTGATTGAGTTATACTAAAATTACCTCTTGGATTTTGATTTGGACCGTCAAATGTTGGATATTTGGATAAGGATGAATGTAAAGAATTCGAGTTATGTGAGGACTAAAACATCTAAAAGGCATGAGATAAGGGCATGAAGAGAAGTATCACCAATATAGGCCAAACCCTATCAAGACCCGACTATGTTTATGAGGAATATGAGGGTATGTTTGCTCGGGGAAAATAGGTCGTGCTGTATATGCGAGGGCTCGAAATTGGGCTACGTCCTTTGTGCATATCAGATACTAATGGCAATGTCAGCATCAAATATTGCAAATATGGCAGGAAGCCAATTCTAGCTATTATCCATGTACGTGAAAAAACAGACAAGAAGTTTCCTCTCTGGAAGTACTCCAAATTTATTCCATACATGGAAAAATTCACGGTGTGATGAGTTAGCAGTTGCAACCAGGGACGGACCCACATGGGGTCATGTGGGGTCAAATGACCCCACAAATTTTTTTTTTTTTTTTTTCTAAGCATTTTTGAATTCTCATTTTTGACCACACAAGAAAAATGGTCTCTGTCCGCTCCTAATTGGCATCTAGCTAGTTTTTCATATAAACAATCTTGGAGCGAAGGAAAG